CGTCGCTGGGGGTCATGGTCAAGGAAAGACTCTGCAACAGTTGTCGAGTCCTACAGGATTGTTCGTCGATATGTTGGGTACCATCTATGTGGCAGACGGGGGAAATCATAGAGTGATCCGTTGGCCTAAAGGTGCAATACGAGGCACTATCATTGTGAGTGAAAATGGTTGTGGAGAAGGAGCAAATCAGTTGTGGAATCCCATGGGTTTATCCTTTGATCGGCATGGCAATCTGTATGTCGTCGATTGGGGAAATCATCGAGTTCAACGTTTTTCCAAACTATGACATTAATTGTTATGGTTATGTTTCTTTTAGTTTATCTATCAAATGAATAGTGTTGAATAAAAAAGAGATGGCTATTCAAACAAGAATGAATTTCATTCCTATTCTATTTTCACGCGTGTGCAGCCAGGAGTCATCCTAGTGGTTGGTCAGAAGTCCATGCATACACGAAGCAGTCTCATACCCACATGACGTGTAAGTATGGATGCGAACAAAGTGAAGAACAACACAACCATATCTACACTCAAATCAAAAATTCTCTAGACTTATGGTTCACATTATATGTCTTGATATAAGTGAGGTTCTACTTAGGGTGATGAGTATAAATATAGATCTTGGACATGTTCTATGGTAGATAGTACGAGTTCTATAGTGAAAAATTTTAATAATTGACTTCTATCATAGATTTAATCTATTGTTGTAAATTAAGTATATATAGAGAGTCGATCTTAATGAAGAATACTGAATGCTTTTAACATTGATCATCAATTTTGATCTTTACATTGAGATAACAGCGGCAAAAAAACGCACTTCAAGTACATCGTTGCTGCTATGATGTGATACCAAATACTTGATAAGAGGATCACTGAAATGAATTTAAACAATATTCTATTTCATTATAAAAATATGATTCCTTTCTCCAGTATGTATTCACTTCACCCTCAATGAATTGTTTGATCAAAAAAAAACCCATTAGGACATTGATACGTAAGAGTTGGCATGAAAAAGGAGACTAATAAAACGAAGAACAACATCTACTCATTTTGATTTTTTTTTCAACGAATCACACATTCTAAATCAATGTAAAATGATCTTCTGTTGACAAACTTAGTTATTTTTCATTGACTCAACAAGCAGCATATTTTACTTGATTAGAGATTGAGTGCACAGAAAAAATGGGATGTTTCGATTTGAACAATGCTGAAGATGGACGAGATCGTTTCTTTCTCTATGCTATGATCATCGTTCCATTTATTTCATCGGGCTGTTATGTATTCGATGCTTGGCATCACTATGTTTACCATCCAGATTCACGCAACTACGAAGGACTTATGTCTACTATTGTTATTGTCTTCATCTATCTTCAGTATTGTGCACCAATTCAATCTCGACGATTATTGGCTATCTATCATATTCTATTATGGATAATCACAGAAATAGCTAATCTCGGCTATTTGATTTTCTATATTCAGAAAGGTGAAACATTCAGAATCATAATCTATTTTGCTTTTCTTATTCTTCAAATATATCTTACTATTGGTCTTCTCTATTGTCGAGTTCTGAATAATTTCGAATCGAATATTGTCGTAGAAAATAAACATGTATTTCATTTTATGTCTCGATTGGAAGTTATTCTTACCATATACATACCAGCCTATTGGAAGGTCAAATATACATCATTGACACGACATACTATTGCTTATTTTCTTCTGTTCGATTTTTTTGCAGATTCTTATCATCGTTTTCAAGGTGTTTGGATCAAATCTGCATTGTATTTATTTGTGACGACTGTTACAGTAGCAGTGGCAACTGAATGGATCTATTTAAACCATGAAGATCAAATCTATAAAACGATTTCTCTTATTGCCGAAGTAATTTCTGCTTTTCTTTGTAATACTATTATTATTCTACAATTCTTTCCGTTTCATTTTAAAACTCAACATATTCAACATATCGCTCGAGAAGCTTTAATTGTATTCAGAAAACAACAGGATGCTATACAAGAAAAAGCTGAATCTAGCACTAAAATATCGATGATGTCTGAATTAAAGAGTTGATGCAGTAATGTAATGATTTCTATTCATTTCTTTTTTTTTTATACTAATGATGAATGTCTCTTACATATTTTTTGTGTTATGTTTTACTTTAATCTCTTTTTAATAAATTTTACTACTTTATACTTGTATGTCTATTATCAATTTATTGTTTTTTTGTATGCTAATTAATAGAAATATATATTTTCAACAAGAAAGAAACTAATTATTTCAAACTAATAATCTTTGTTATTCAACAAGAAAATAATGGCAAATATACTGCGTACAATATTTTATTATTTATTTTTCTGTTCTTTAAATATTCTCATTTCATATTATTCAAAATTTTATTAAGACATTATGTTAGAATTATCTTATAATTTATATTCTTTCGACTCAATTCAAACAATCATTATTTAATTTCAACTAAAAAAAATATTTCATATGATATTCACTTTTCTTATTTAATTGCTAAGTAATATTTTAAAAGCTATAAATATTTATGAATCAATGTTTATGATTAAATAGCAAGTCAATTAGAAACATTGACAAAAGATAAATACTTGACAGTTTATTACATAGGTGGAAATATTCATTATAAAGTGCTGGTAATCTTTCAATAATGCTTGAGATTAAATAGAAATCTGCTTAGAAAGATTGAAAATAAATAAGTAGCTGGATGTTCATTAAAAATAAGTATATCGCTAGGGTGGAGATGAAATTTATATCACAACATTCGAAGAAAAGAGCTACTATTTGTGTACTATATACTGAGTTTATGACATTTATTGCTTATAAAAATATTACTTCCAGAGAATGATTCTATTTGAGCACAGACTGTCTACTCTCGGTTTTCTTCATGTCAAAGAAGATAGTAGAAAAATGGTTTCACTCAATGTATTGGTTTCTTGATAGTGCTCATTATTTTCTTTTCTATCAGCTCCAGGTCACTATGACTTTTCTAATTGTGTTCTGAACAGTTAATAACATAGTTTAAGGTGATGTAAGTTTGAAGATTTCGGTGCATTGATCTTCAGTTTTATAATGACTAGATACGTAAAGGTAAACTATGAGTATTTTTCTAAAGTTTTCTTCTCTTGTAACAGTGTTTCAAGTGATATTATCTACTGGTCGCATCATTGTTGACAATCCATCTATTAATATAAAACCTTGTTTAAATAAAGAACATTCTTCGTTACAAATACGATGTTCGATAGTAGGCATAAAATTGGCGCAGGTTGTAAAAAAAATGGCTAAGCATTCAAGAAGCACGTATAAAATTTGAACATCAGTAAATCTATTAAATTAAGTGCAGGAAGAATTGTTTTCTCATCTTATAGTATTACTACTACATACTAGTTTTGAATTGTATTCAACTTTGTCGATCATTCTTTATTAATTGTTCATTCTGCAGAAAAATTAAAAACATTTGATTAATTATTTTATTACTGCATGATTTTCTATCTTAGAACTTTCAAGCATTCTCTTTACTAGTTTATAGCTGGAATTACATTTACGTGCGTCATACTCTTCGAATATGACTTTTTTGACAATGAATTACAATAATAAAGTAGACTTAATAAGACGAAGGATTTCTTTTATTAATCATGTCATTCTTTGCGCATCTGCACTGTTTCTTTTTGCAATAAGGCTTAGTCTATTTTTTTTATTAGCGATAGATAGAATAGAATATTCTTTTTAAAAAAATGCTTCGTTACTGTGTAGAATCCATACAATAAATGTTCTTTTCTTTTTCATGTTTCTTGATAGCAGCGAATAGATAAATTACTTCTTAGAGCAGTACTCATCCTCAAGAAAGTTGTGTATACTTTTGTTTCAAATATCATAGCTAGAGAAGAGAGTGACTTTAGAAAAGTAAACGTATATGGGAACAATTCATAAGGTATTTTCACAGCTACTTTTAGCTAGAACAGTCGTTGTACCTAATCGTATTCAAATAGATATAAACGGGCGGGAATTCATAAACCCATGTATTTTTCGCTCAAATTGCTGAAATACAGTAAGATACCTTTCTTTGTTTACCCATTCAAGGGATTTCAGTCAGTATTTGTCTTCTAGAGATAGCAATCAATGAAACTATCGGTTGTTCTTGTACCTCTGATGAAACATCATCGGAAGATTGTGAGTAAAATTCAAAGAATGCCTATGAGGAATAGGTGATTTCCATTGATTTTTACCGTTAGCAAGAACATAGATCGTAGTCGCTGGGAGAGATGAACGGATATTTTCACGTATAATGTTCAGCGTTGACAGTTTTCATTGGAGAATGGTACGATTTCGGAGAATCTTTAGTTATTTTCCTTTTGTTTGTTCACTGCTCTCGTCCTTTTGAATTCCCCTTAAGCGTCTGTTCATGGGTTCGACAAGAACAAAAAACATGCGAGATTATTTTTTTTAATATATATTTTTAGGTTAAACACACTGATGACGCTATTAGTATTATCCTATTTTGTTTTGCCATTGATCTAGTTAGCAACTAATTCTCAGCCTCTCATACTGATTCGTAATCTTCATTTATAAATTGTCAAGAGAGAACATAATAATGATCATTCTTAATTATGTCTCATATTCTGTATATTGAATAGCATACTTATAGCCTTCTTGATTACTCAATGAATACAACAGTGTCTCCTGACATCGAGCTAATTGCTCAACTTACTATTATTGGACAACTAACCACTCGTTACATACTTTTCAGTATGGTCATACTCAGTCTAATTGGTAATACACTCAATATTATTGTCTTTAGTCAACGAAAACTTCGTGCCAGTCCATGTTCAATCTATCTTCTATTTGCTGCATGCTTTAACATTCTATGGACTGTCGGTGCAGTCTTGTCACGAGCACTCTCTACGTATAATCTGGATTTTTCTGCTCAAATCAGTTCTTTATGTAAAGTACGTCATTTTATTTTCTATACTTCTTCAAGTTTATCAGTCTGGATGATGGTTTTAGCAACTTTTGATCGATTTCTAATAAGTAGTCCATCGGCTAACTATCGTCATTTCAGTTCGTTTACCAATGCGTATCGATTGATAGGCATTGTCACATTTCTATTATGTATCAATTATTCAAATTTATTCTATTGCGCTAATATAAAAGGAACTCCACCAGCATCATCATGTACATCAATCACAACACGAATATGTGGTTTCTATAATGAATTATCACGAGTAATGACAGCAGCAATCATTCCTGGTTGTATAATATTTGTATTTGGTGTGGGTACTATTCGACATTTGAAAAAGGTTCGAGTTGCTGTTGGTATAGCAACAATACAGAATAGTCATTCATATCATCGACTAAGAAAAACCGATCGACAACTTATTCAGGTAAGAAACATTCCGAAGTGATATACAATAATCATTTTTCGTTATTACAAGATGCTGATTGGACAAGTTGCAATGATTTTCATCTCATGGATACCTCATGCAGTGCAACGTATTAATGTGGTGATTACATTTGATGATATCAAAAGTCCTCTACGTTCGAGACAGGATACATTGTGGGATCAAATTGCATGGATCATAACAACATTCGATTGTTCATTCTCATTCTATGTCTATCTTTTCACTGGTGGTATTTTGTTCCGACAAACGGTAAGATCAATATTTGGATGTAGAACATCAACTTCTAGAACAAGAATGTTGGACGCAACGAATCATGTACAACGAAGTCGTCGAACATAAATTCATATTATATTATATTACAAATGCCAAACAAGAAGTCATAGCTTCACTTAGTTTCGCCCCTTTTCTTCCGTCAGCATAGATAACCAACCATGTACAAGCTTCGACTTCGAAAAAGAGTTGAACATTTCTCTGAGAAGAAATAGTAGCTGTTAACAAATATTTTCTTTGGACATATCTGTTTTGTAACAATATTAGAACTATATTGAGCTTTCCAGTGTTTTTGTTTTGGGGAAAAAGTTTTAATTCATTATTAACAAATATTAAGTGATTATTGAAATGTTAAACATGTTTTTTCTTCTTGCTTAAAACTCAATAAACTTATGATATATATATAAGAATTTAAATAATATGTTAATATTAATATTCTCGTCTTATAGTCGACATTCAATAAATATTGTATAGCTTTTGTTCAATAATGATTCACTGGATGATGATCAATTTTTTTTCATGTCGTGTTATTTGACCTAAACATTCGCGCAATGATCAAGCGTAGTGAGCTAGAACAGAAATAGCAGTGAGACCGATTGTAATGCACCAAGTCACAAATTACTTGGATATTAGAATCGAGGCATCTCTAAAATTGCGATCCTAGGAAATATACTTGTTTAATAGAGTACGTAAATAAAACAAATGCAGACCATTTTCTGATTACTAAGCGCATATCTAATACTCTTTCTGAACATGTTCAGTTTTATTTCGTCAGTATCTACTCTGCTTATTTTCAACATTAATAGATCTTATTTAAGTGATGTAGCACAATAGCCTGGAACATGTATTCACACAAATAATTCGATGTACAGCTTCAGTGAGAACTGTGACTAGAAATGAATGACAGAAAACAATAGAAAATAGTCGTTCATACATGCAACGAAATAATCATTTCAATTTGTTTTCTCCTTTGTTATAAATTTCGTTACCATATATGATACTTCTTTTCTATACGTTAGTGCTGTATGGTTTTTTTTTTGACACTAAAAAGGTTCATCAAGAAAGCTAATAATCATGTTCGTTTATTGTCGAAGTTTTGATTGTTCCTTGAAACTTAAATGGACATGTGATTATATTTACATAGATTTGGAATTCATTACAATAATAATTAATTCAACTTTATTGAGTTCGTTTGCGGCTGAGTTTTGCGCTGATAATGATAGGTAAATTGAAACAGTTGAATAACATTTATAAGTAGACCACAAAATCCTATTAGCAGTAATATTCCAGTCATTGAAATATAAATTATTGCAGTATAGATCAAAATGACCACTGTTATTCCGCCGAGAGCAAATAAAATAATCAAAATCAAACCTAACCATTTACGTGACAAGCAACTAAACCATTTGAAAGCATGGCATAGAAGAGAGAAAACACAAGAGCCGATGCCTATTTGATTGAGCATAGCTGCAGCATTTACTTCCTTATAGACCCAAACCAAACAGATGATCCTCGACGATGTTGAATTCGTTAACGTTTCACCAGGCTCACAACCAATGCTTACCCTTGAAACCATATTTTTCATAATAAAACAATCACTTCTCTGTCGTGGACAAGTATCGCCTTCAAATAATCGTCGTACTTGAAAGATCCATCCATCAATGAATAAAAGCAAAATGATCCATACTATGGCTACCAATTGAAAAGCGAGAGATAGACGAAAACGTCGTGAGGTTAGAAAATTAATTTCGATACCATAAAAATTCATCATCAATTGTTCGTTATCAGATCGAATAATAGCAAATGATTTTTCAATCAAATTTGCTAATAATCGATTTGGTAATAAAAGTACTATGAATATTTCGATAAAAAGAACTCCAAATGACATTCCATATAGAATGAAATTATATGTCTGAAAATCTGTCATTATGACTTGACAGTATTCTCAAAATGTTAATGAGTGAATATTCTTCGTTGATGTATCAAGTTATGTTTGTCATTTAACTAAGATCATGTTACTATCACGAGTTGTGTCAAACAGTAATTGAATCCAAATAATCAACATTGACTAAAGATATATATCTAATCAGATCTCAAACTAAAGATCTGAACAAGTACAACAGCTTATCATATTGATGGTAGCAATATTGTCTAAAAATCGAATGCTACCTATGCTTTCACACTTAATTTCGAGGATTGTTGTATGTAAAAAGTTTAGAACATATTAACAAAAGCAAAATAAAACAACTAAATCTGCTGATGTATGATGTACGTGACTAAACCGAAGAGAAAAAAAAAACATTATCTCATCTAAAGCTTCAGCATAGAACAGGAAAACAATGAGCAAATATCAATTTCATTCTTCTAAAAACAAAAAAAAACACTAGCAAAATATTCCTCCATTAAAATTCTTTTGTAGAAGATTTTTCCTATTAGTAACTTTTAATTCCTATTAAAATGAATGTCAATCGACGGGTTGAGATACAAGCTATCGAATATGTGCAGATAATAATTTCTAAAAAAAAATATCAACCTAAAACAATCGTAAACAGTAAATATGAACAAGTTTCAAAACCAATAACGGAATGTCAGAGGGCAACGAATTCTTCTAGTTTTCTCTTTCTATCCTCTTTTCATATGATTTTCTTGAAATTATGTTTTGGTTTACTTTGTTCATTACTATGCAGGAAAAATTATTGTCTTAGCTTGAAAAGCTCACTTCATACTAAGCGATATCCTAATCACATCCATACTCATACCTTACTTTCAGTTAGATACCAAACCATTTCATAAGGATACTCACTGGAAAATGAATGATTTATTATCGCCATCACTCATAGTAATTCTTCTAGTATTACCTTTATTTAGTAAAGTCTTGATTCTTTATGAAAAACTGTAGAAACAAAAACCGAATTTATTTCACTATTGATTGATATTTACACATAGATTTAAGTCAGTCTGTTTCCTTGTTAAATTACTAATTCAAATATAGAAACAAAAGATTTTTCTTGTATTCATACTAACAGGTTTAATTAATCTGTTAAGATGGAATTCATGAGACAAAATGAATTATTTGTATCAACTCTGATGAACTGAAAAGTTCTGTGGTTAAATACTTATTTTTCAAGATTTAGATATTTTATAACTAAATTAAAGCTTCAAGTTAAGGAACAAATAAACAAATATTCCTTCAAAATAATTTTAAAAGCATGAATAACATCAATGCAGTTATTTCTCGAATAGAAATTTTTCACACTTAGTTGATGAAGTTTTTCGTAATCGATGTTCGTTATCACACTATAGTAAAATCCTATAAAAATTATCTACTTCTTTACTCAACAGAAAACACTGAAAGCATCATGATGTTAACAATTAAGAATATCTTTAGATATACTTAAAACTGGCTTTTCATTTAGACTAATCTTAGAATTCAAATATTTCGCTCCTTATTAAAACAATATTTTCTTTCTCTTCCTTTTTACAATGCAATAAAATCTAGAGTTACATTCAATGCATGATTAGTATTAGATCTTTTTCTTCTATGAATTTCCATCATTGAATATTCATTGAAACTCATACACTGAACAAGAACTATTCTTACTAATTTATGAGATTTATTGAGTCTCAGAGTGTAATAATGATAGACACTAAAATACTCTTCAAAAAAGAATAAGCTGCCACTACAGTACCGCAATAAATGTGTCTGGAAGGAAGACATACAAATGCTTTTTTTTGTTAACAAGTGAATATAAGTAACAAAAAAAAAAGAAACTACCAACTCTTATTTGACAAAAGAAATGATATTTATTTAGTCTGAAATCATATCTAATATCGAGAAGAAACAAGAAACTTTTCTTTCTATGTGTGTCACGGATTTGAAGTATATGGTATTGTTTTGTTCATTGTTTGATTGATTTCTAAAGAATTATCGATTTTGTAGCAAATAGAAAACAAAACATTCAATTAAGAATTCTTCCACTTTCTTTTTTTCAAAAAAATAAAGATGCAAAATCTTTCATAACAATTAATATACAGACAACTTTTCAATTAAAAAAAAAAAGGAGTTTCCAATCATAAACAAATTATGTTAGTTCATCGACGGCTGCTGAGATTTATTAGAAATAAGTATCGGATTAGCAAGTTTAATAGCTGGAGTAATTGATGATGATAACGGTTTGATGATATTAATCTGTTTAGGTACTAATGGTGATGTTTCAATTTTATCGACAGATGCAATCGGATGTGAAGTTGTTGATGTTACTAATCGAATCGAATTCGTAGGTAATGACGGAGGTTTATTAATTGATAAACGAATTACACGCGGAGTAATCTCTCGTGTTGTCTAAAGATAAGATTTTAAAATAAAAATAATCTACATGTAAATTTCTTTTTTTTTTTTTCAACACAATATTTATTCAAGTTTTGACTATTTAGATATCACATGAAAGACACTTCAAATTATTCTAAAATATTACTCAAAAAAAAAAAAACAAGATCGTTTTAAATGAAAAGAAATTTGTCTCATTTAGACATTTGCTTATAGCTAAGTAATATAAAGTCAGAAGAAAATTTTAATTATAATTCATTACTTTTTTTTTGTCTTTTAGTAAGAATAAAATGTTCAAAAAATTGAATGAATATTTTCTGCTGAATTTTTACATATATAGGTTACATGAATATTTTGACTTACAATAGTATTGATACGTTGTGAATCTTTTTGTATTGTATTTGTTGATATAATTTTTGTGACTTTTCTAATTGGTTCATCATTATCACATTCATCAATGGATGTTGATCCACCTAAAATTGGTTTAAGTTCAATAATTGGTGTAAAATGTGCTTGTTGTTTCACTCCATTATAATTTGAATTATTTAATATTTGATTTCTTTGACGTTTATTACAACGATTCATAATAAGAGAACGACGATTTATTGTTTGTTTTGGTAGAATTAATTCTGTTGTTTTAATTACATTTGATGTTTGTAAAATTGTATTAAAAATTATATTTTTCATTGCTATAAAAAAATAAAAAGAACAAATTTAGAATTAATAATAAAATAATAATTTTTTTGTTTTTTTACATTGTGCATTTCTTATATTTGCTTTATTTTTTTTAATTGTTTGATAGAATATTAAAATATCTGGTTGAATAAAATATTTTTTTCGTATTATATTTTCATTTGTATTCATTGTATATTTAAGTGGATCAATAATATGTTGATAAATTTTTTCATAATCATCATTTGTTGTATTAAAATATGATAATGATGAATGAACACTAACAATAAGTGTTAAATCAAATATACATTGTGTTATAGAACTAATTGTATTTGTACCATATTGATAAATAAGATCTTGAAAAAATTTTGTATGAATATTATATAATGAAGATATTATAGTTGAATTATATATTTGAGAAGTTTTACGTAGAATAGTTGGAGATGATAGATAACGATTAGATGTTAATTTAACAGGAGAAACACTGACAATAATTGGTAATGATGAACTAAAAAAATATATTTATATTTGATTTTGTTTTTTTTTTTTTATAAAAATAATTTACTCATTTATTTGTTCATGTGATGAACATTGAGAACATAAACATTTAATAAAATGTCGTTGTTGTGGATGTCGTCTATCATGTATATGAACAATTAATGGTCCAGATTCACTTAATACTTTTAAAAACCATGATGAATTCATATTTGTTGATAATGTTGATATAGAAGTCGTTTGAGATGATGTACATATTTGTACATCAAAATAATCAACACGAATATCAATTTTTGTCCAACTAACACGAAGACCACGAAGTGCCTTAAATAAATAATTTAATTTAAAAAAAAAAAAAAATTTATTTAATTAACCTCTTCAACTTTTGATAAAATTTTTGAACGAGATGAATACCAATCAGTTGTACTATATATAGCTAATTCAATTTCGAATATTTTATTTTCACGTGAACGAATTTTTAATAAAAATGTATCAGGATCATGACCACCTAAAAAAAAAATTTATGTTTATTGTAGATAATAATCGAATATTTTAATATTGACTTTAGGTTTATCGATGCAGAAAATTTTCTACTGCATAAGAAAGGTGATAGTTTTTATCATATAAATTTTGATCCATTCTCGACTAATTTATGTTTCATTCTGAATTTAACTAAAAAGCTCTTACAGGAAAGTATATCGAAATGTCGTTCAAATTCATATTTTGATTATAAATAGCACTCAGTGAAAATAGAAAAATGTTTACGATTGTAAGAAACAAAATCAATTGTTCTTGGCTTCGATCTTAGTTTTTTGTGCTTAATGAAACTTATATCAAGATTTATCACATTTTTTAATTCACTAAAATTTCCTGATAGGAAATATTAAAGTGATTGTTACTCAATAAATTTTTATGGGATGATCTGATCTATATCTAATTCGAAGTCTATACATTATCGAACTAGAATAAAAATTGTTTTCGTAGAATTTTAGCGTATGAATTAACTATCAAACTGTTGGTCTTATGGTTTCGAGAAATGATCCTTTTAAATAATAATATTGAGAAAATTTTTTTGTCTTTCTTATCATAATCTGATGATTTAGTAAATATATAATCTTACGTCCTAAAGCATTTATTAATTTTTTTCTTGCTTTTTCAATAGGTGTTTCAGATATAGATTGAGTTTCAATAATAATATGATTATTAATATTATGTTGTATTTCATTATGATTTTCTAATTTAATAGTTGGTGATAAACGTTCACCAAATTGTTGTTCAATTTCTGCATCAGTTAATAATGTTGAATTAATATTTATATGTGATGGTTTTTTTCGTTTACGTTTTGATTTAATATTTGTTTCACTTTCTTCAATATAGAATTTTTTTCGTTTACGTATTCGTTTTGGTCGTAATAATGATGATGATGGCGATATAGATACATTTGTTGTACATGATCGATGAATATTTTGTACATAATTATCTAAATCATGAGAACTAAAAAAAAAGAAAACATAATTTAAAAATTTTTGTTTTTTAATCATTACTAACTATTCTGATGTTCCAAAAGACATTGGACCAGTTGGAATAACCTATAGAAAAAGAAACAAAAAAAAATGTAAAATATATATATCAGAATATTTTATTTCTACATTTATTTGTACAGGTTCTTCTTTTGTTTCGATAACATGAGTAATAACAAGCTAAAAAAAGAAACGTTGAATTGAAAATTTCATTTTTTTTTTTTGTTGTTTATAAAAGTCAATTAACAAACTTGTTCTTGTTCTATAGGTTCATTTTTAATCATTGATGGTTCAGCTAATTCAATAGCTATTATGGGTTCTTGTTGATTTTTTGTTTTTGATAAAGATTTTTTTTTCTTTGATGTTTTAACATCTAATGTAAGAAGTATTGAACTCATATCTTCATATGCAATACGATTTGTACGTAATGAAGATTTTTTTTCTGTTAAACTATCGAATATATTACCATTATCATCATCAGACATAAATAAAAAATTACTTGATTGTGGTAAATCTTTAATATTACGTCGTTGTCTTTTAGTATTTAATTCATAATTTGTTTGATTTATATTTAATAAATTTTTATTATTATTTATTAATGTTTCAGGTAAATCAATAAGATATTTTTGTGCAAATGTTTTCATATCTATTTCATTATTATCTTGTTCAAATTGTTGATTATTATCTTTTTCATTATTATAATTTGTTTGTTTTTCAATTAATTTATTATGAAATTGTTGAATATCATCAATTGAATTAAATCCAATATAATATTCATTATCAATAAGATGATATTCAGCTGATGATTTATTATTTATTTGTTGACTAATTGTTGAAAAAAGAGATCTATTTAATTTCTTTTTGACCATTGTATATAATTTTAAATTATAATTAAACTTGTTTTCCGTAACTGAATATTAACGATGCAAATACGCGGCCAATGTGGCCTCCGCAATGATCCTAACAAATCTATGATTTGTTCTGTGTTGTTAAACTCGGTGCCAATTATAGAGAGAGATATGAACTTATAGAAAATAATGATAGAAAGAAAAATTGATTCTCTTGATAATATAATGCTTAAGAAAAGAAAGATAAAATGTGAAAGTATTTGAAAAGAAAAGTTTTATTCGTAGATGGCATTAGTCATCGTTTTTTTTATATTATTCATTTGTAAAAGAGTTTTGTTGTTCAATTTCAATTCAACACGTAATAAAACAAAAAAAGGAATTTTATAAGATGTTGATTCATTTTTCAATATTTTGAAGAAGTTTGTAGGTATTGCAAAACATCAAGATTTCGTATATGGGTTCAAAATTTCTCTTAAAGTTCTAATTGAAGTAGTATGAGTAGTTGTTTTTCAGGCACAAAAATTAAGTTTGAACGAAAAGAATTGACCTTTTTGCAGCAATAAATTTCACCACTGCATATGTTACACTACTGATTGATTTGTACAGAAGTAGTCATTCAGCAATGACTGGCCTTACTTTACAAATCTGCTTTCCATAGAAATCTAAATAGCCTAACTAAGAAAAATAGACAACAAACTCCTTTCTCGGAGTTCTTTAGCAACAAAATAAAGAATATATGTGAGCCAAAACCGATGACACACTGTAGAAGGCCATAGCCTGTCATATGTAGGTGATCCAGTCTATTTTTACAATTGTAATTTCCTAACCAATATTTATATTTAACAGTATTGCATTTAGATTAGTAGACGACTTTTCTTTCTTATCAACATACTAAATACAATCTTTCAACCAACAATTTATTAGCACATGTCAAATAAAATTATCTTAAGATAAACATCAAAGTAATACAAAAAAAAAAAAATCATAAACAGCTAGTTTTGAATACCAAAAGAATTATAATAAGTTTCCATATTTCCAATTAAATGACACGATCATTTACATGAAAATATAATGATTTTCTCACATAAATGAAAACATTAAAAAAGATTAATACACTACATAGAAATAAAATAGAATTTTTACACATAGCTCTGTCAAATAGTTATCATCGGGCGCTTTAAAAAAAACTAGCTGTTAACACAATTCCTACGAGATTAAAATGTAAAACACATGATATAGTTTCAGTTGCTAATTACGAGTAGATTATTTTATTCTATATAGTTTTACACATTTTTTTTTTATCATTCTTCTAACTTAATCTTTCAGACATTCAATGACACATTAAACACATACGATCTATAATGTGAGCGTATGCAAATGTTGCTAAGAAACCTGTAATAAAGTCGAGATGTTGTTAGGAATGTCTGTCATGTATTTGATAAGCCGTTTCTAACCTGTAAATTCAATTTCAGTTGAGAATAAAAATGTCAAAAAAATGCTTTATAAAAATAAAAAGTAAAATTTTGTAAAGAAGACTTATTATTTTTTTTGAAAGATGTCATGATTACACGATTAATATCAGCATATGGAATATAAAATGTGTGACAGTAAAAAAAGACACATCTACTCTCAAATTGCAGTTTATCATAAAAGAATCAATTCTTTCAGTTATTTCTTTTTAAATTTTATACATCAAGAAAAATATTTACAAAAATGTTTATTTTAATTTTCAATCAAACTTTGAATAATTATCTATACGAAGAAAAATTTACAAATTTCTATTTCAATACTTTTTTCAAATCATATTACACAAAAAAAAAAGAGACTTAACTTGACATTTATTAATTAATAAAGAAAGAGAAAACAAAAAATAGATTATCATACAATTAATTTCTAATGAAATATTTTTTCAAATGAACAAAAAAAAAAAAAAAAACAAGATACATAATAATCAAAGAAATAAATTAGTATCACCAAGTTCTTCATAAACATGTTTAGTTGAACATTGAATAATATGACTTGATTGTTCATCTAAACTTGTATTACTCATAATTGATGTTGATGTTATTGGTTCTTTATCAATACCATTGCTATATTCTGATGATAAACTTGTTATAGGATTTATTGTTATACTATCACTTAATGTTCTATTATGATATTTTAATAAACAATAAGATGAAGGTTGTATACATGGTAATTGTTTCGAATTATGATAATGCCAAGATGATGTAGGTTTAATACATGTTTGACAAGGATTATTTTTTAAATAATAATATTTTATTGATGGAGAAGATATAAATGAATATGTATATGTTTCATTATCATTATTATTTCGATCCATATACATATTATGTTTTTGTTCATTATGTTGATGAAATAAATGATGAGAATGATTTTGTTTATAATGTAAACGACAAATAAAAGATAGTATAATTAAAAAACATATTGTTAATATAGTACCAATAAGAAAACCAAATATAATTGAACGATTAATAAATAATGTTTGTTTATTAGATGTTATTATTGTTGTTGTTATTTCTCGACAATATTTATCAGTACCATATGATAAACGTGTTATTAATAAACATATATGATATATTTGATTTGATGGTAAATTATGAATAATATATTGTTTAAGATAAGGTGATATAAAATCAGTTTGTCGAATAATTTCAATTTTTGATGGATATTCTTGTTCAATAATTATTTGAAATTTTGTTTTTAGAAAATAATTTGTTAATAAATTTGTATCAAAATCCCAAAAAATTAATAAATCATTATTTTCATAATATGTATTGAATGATGTTAAATAAAAAGATGATATTGAATTTTGATTATTATTAAATTTTTCTGATATTTCAATTACTATAAGAAAAAAAAATCAACTTAATTTATTAATCATCAATTTGTTAAAGAATAATAAACGTTTAGAAATTACGAATATATATATATAGGGTGTAGATCATCTTTTCAGTCATACCCACACCTTTAATGAAAGAAGATGAGTTTGTTTTATGAACACTCGATATTTCATCCTTTGATTTTATTTCTTATAGTACAATCATTAGTAACATATCTAAGGTCATTCCATGGCTAGTGGTAGCGAGTTTTACGGTGAGGTAAATCTCACCTTAATAGATAGAGAGTATTGAGATTAGAGAAAGTCTAAAAGAATTCCTACTAGACTCAAAGATTCATTTCTCCTTCTATTAAATTTACAGATTTGAGCAACGCATCAGAATTTTTGTACAAATGTCGATATTTTTCGCGTTTTGTAATCATATTCTGTTAGTCAAATAGATTATGGAAAAGATTGATTTTTGTTTCAATATTGAATCATGCATCGACAATTACTTGAAATGCAAATCATTCGTTACAAGTAAGAAATATACCTATTAGATAGTTCGAATACTGAACAAAGTCACTATTTTCATAGCTTCCACTTTACTGACCATAAAACGCCTGCATATATTTTGAAACGAAGCACTAGCTGTATTTCATCTAAAGAGCATATAAAAGCTTGACTTCTCTCCTGATAAATTTTCAGGTGTGACTCTTATATAAAATTTTGAATTCACTCTAGTATTGCAAAGTATTGACGTCTATACTTATGGATCTTGTTTTTTTGGATTACGAACATTTTAACAAGTTTTTTAATAAAATGTTGTGATTTCTTCAAACCACTTGCAAAATTTACTTTCGATTACATATTTTGTATAAATAGTATTCTCAATCCAATTAGTTCATTGTGAGACTATCAGATTTCTATATATATCTTATTATTAGTTATCAATATTGTTTAAGTTTGATATTTTTACAAAGCAATTTGTTTCATTCAAAATTTGATTATAGTACAATGTGTGAAAAATAAACTCAATCAACATCGGCATCTTTATCAGATACAATACACTCTTTTCGATTGCTCTTAAATCATCTATTAGAAAGATAATGCATGAAAAAAACTTGGACATTAAAATTGTGTTCAATATCAGAAACTGTCGGACATTCTTTATCTTCATATTATAACTACATATAAGTCTCGGTGACACTAAATCAAGTCGGCAACTAATCGAAAAGAGAATGTAATATCCAATGAATATATTAAACTGTACAGAATAAAATGATTTTGCATATTGTATCTATTTAACAAAACCTTTATAGAGTGATAGATTTACCATTTTATCATGCAGAAATCTTTTGATAAAGACAAGCAGTCATTTGAAATAAAAAAAAAAGAACATCCTTGAAAAAAAAAAGATAAGATTCAAATGGCGTAGTACTCAATCTGATTAATCAATTCATACGACCTTTTATACATTCATTAGCATAAAATCAGATTACCTTTTGATATCAGAATTTTTAATTTTTACTTACTTTGTGTTGAATTTTCAATCTGTTGATACTTATCGATAATTGTTATATTAATTAAATTTTCTATATATTCTTGAATTTCTTGAAAATTTGTTACTTCTTTACAATTATTTGGTAAATTTAATGAACATGTAGTTAATAATTGTTCATATGTTAAATCTTTTAATAATTGACCTTTAAATATTTGTGGTGTAGCACATAATGTTTGATTTCCAAATGGTTGATTATTTCCAATTTGTTGTGATAAATTTGTTAAATTATTTTTAAGAAAATAACCTAAACGACAATCACAATGAAGATTAATTATATTATTCATTATTATATTTGATATATCTTTTGTTTGTTCTATTGTACATATTGGATTAAATGAAAGATCAATTAAATGTTGACTATCATTCAAATGAACATAATTTATTAAATTATAACTTAAATTTACATTTAATTTTGTTATTTCATTGATCAAAGGTAAATTTTCAATTAGATTATTTGAAAGGTCAAGTGTCATCAAATGTGGTAAACGTATATTTAAATCATTTGGTATTGTTTGAAGTTGATTTGATGTTAAATTTAATATTTGTATTGATGATGAATAAATTAAATATTGATCATCAAAATTAAAATATTCAATATGATTATTAATCAATGAAAGT